TTTCTGCATGGATTAACAAAATCTTTTGAATTCAGACAATTAAAAACATTTGTGACAAATGTATGTTGTCAGATTCTGTAAAAAGTGCCTGTGAACAGAGAAAAATTTGTTAGAAAATGAATGTTTACGAATTTCACGTCATTTGAAACAGGCAGTGCCGTTTTTCTTGCGTGTGATCGGTAATCAAACTTCTGCGCAAGCGCTCGGCAAGTTGACTATCCAGGATAATAAATTTGATTATCTAGATATACTAAACGGGAATATATAATATTTCAGGAAGATAATATTTCTGACTATACAAATAATAAATTTGATTATATATTTTCTAACTATCTACTTTTAACTATCCATTTTTCTCCGTGTAAAAAAAATTAAAAAATAAATAAAAATTTGAATAAATCGGACTTTTTTGAATAAATTTTTGATTTTTTTTATAACACCATTCGATAGAACGCATATGAAAACATAAGAAATGATGATTGATGAATTTTTCTGTTGATTTTTAAGTACCGAAATAAGTCCTCAAACTTCATGCCAAATTTTTGTAAATTTGAGCGTTATAAAGGGTTAATAAAATTGGTAAATCTCAAAGAGAATTATTATAAAATGTTAAATTTTTGTAATTTAAATAATAAAATTCTTAAAGAACTTTGAGAAATTATTAAAAATAAGTGATTTTAGAGAAGAAGTTTAGTTTAAAATTCTAGAAAAAATTGCTTGCTTGTAAGAAAATATACGCGTTTTCTATTTTCCTTGAAAATTTAAAAATAATCAAGGATTGATGAGAAAAAATGTCTCTATTTTCAAATTTTTCTTTTTAAAATAGTTTATTAGGAAAATTTGTAAAAGAAATTTTTCAAGTGGAAATTTATAAATTTTCGAAAAATATTTTCTTTTAAATTGTTGATGATAAACTTTGTAAACTTCATAAAAATCACAGTTTTATGTTGGAAAAAACTTGAAAAATTTTTCAGTTTGTTTTTGTTAGCTTTTCTTTGAGTGTATCTGATACATTTTTTAAATTTTGCAAACCTATTTATTATTCTTAATGTATACAGAAAAATATGCAAAACAATTTATTGAAGAAACTTAAAAGGAAAGTAAATATTTTGTGATTTAATTTCTTTTTTCATGAAGGTAAAAGTTTGAAATTTCATTTTTTGTTCGTCTTTCAATTAGAAAGGAACGATTATTGTATAAAAGGAGATATAAAGCTTTTCCTACGGTGAAGCTCTTGCGCTTTTATCAACTTGTCGTATGCTTAAGTAACGTTAGTCAACTTTTTTAAAATTGCGAAGAAGAAGAAGAAGAGTTTTGATAATAATGACAGGCCATTATGATCATAATTCATAATTAATTTACCGCGTCTCTGGATTTATTTTCCTTTCGGTAGTGCATCTATATTTGTGTTCGTCTCTTTATCCATTTAAAATTTAAATAATTTATAAATTCCTACTTCATTTGGAAACAAAAAAGGAAATAAAATAGAAAAATGAGATAGTTTTTTCTAGGAAAGGATTATATTTTTTTTATTAAATTAATTATAATTTGATTTTATTTCTACAACCTATCAATACGTATAAAAAATGAACATAGAACTAGAAATTAATATTTTTTTTATTAATTCAACAGAATATACAGAGAATTTAATTACACAGTATGCTTTAAAATTCTTATTTACATTTTTGAGCAAATTTTAACGTTAATATTATTATGAATTTTAAAATACATTTTCTAAATCTAAAAGAGTGCGAAGATTAATTCAAATTATAAAGATATTTTTTAGTGTTGCCGCGATACGAGACGAGGCGATACCCAATGGGAAATTTACAACTGGCGTAGTACTGCGCCAGCACTGGCAGCACTGGCGGCAAGGCTGAGAGCCAGCACTGGCATGGCACTGGGATGATAACGCCGTCTGGCGCTGCCGAAGTACTGTCTGTCAGTGCTGCCAGACAGCGCTGGCGCAGCACTGGACCAGTGCTGGCTGAGAATATTGCCGCAATAAATGCCGTATTGTTATTAATTAGTCGTAAATTCATAATTATAAATAATTTAACAACAAAATGGTAAATAATATTAATAAATAGTTATTATTCATAAAATATTTCTCTTCTTAAAGAAATTGTATTAAAGATGGAGACTAACAATATGGATATAGTAAATGAAGTAGAAAAAAATTGTTTATAACATTTAAAAATTAAATAATAAACAATTACAGTAAGTGTGCATTAGATTTTCATATTTTAGTACCTGACGATTGGAATCTAGAAATATCGCAAACCTATGAAAATAAACAAAATTGCTGACGAGGGGAATCGAACCTACGACCTACGGACTAACAGACTAACGCTCTAACCACTATGCTAACGACACATGCCTACAGTAAAGTATTAATATCTCAGTATCATTCAGACATACAATTATTGAGTCAAAGATGAGAAAAAAATAGGGATACGTTAGAAGTAATAAATTGAATTAAAATAAATTAAACTAAATTTTTAATAATAGAATTAAATAACTTTACTTATTGAATTTAACATTTTACAAGTGATAATTTTTTAATAATTTTTTATTCATAGTAAGAAGTATAATAGTATTTTAATAGGAACCAAATTATTATTGAGATTAAAGTTTAAATTTTGTTTATAATTTTAATTTGTTTAAATAATTTATTATTTACAAAATTAGACAATTATGTTAAATTATTATTATTATTAAATTTAATAAAAATAAAAAATGAACAACTAAAAAGTAAAATATTAATTTTTTCAATAAATTTATATTTATAAACATTCATAAACTGTTTTTATAATTTTTTTCAAGTTTATGTCAAAAAAGCAATGTTGGCAAAGAGCGTTGTGAACAATTTTTCTATACTCAGCCAGCACTTGCCGCCGTGGCTTGTCCAAGCTTTGGCGAAACAAAAATTCTGTACTGCGCCAGCACTAATTGTCGAGGCTCGGCTAGACTACGCCGAACAATCGTCTGAGTACTAAGCCAGTGGTGAACATCGGCACCACACTGGCATTTCCCATTGGGTAATTTCAACTGTCTCGTCTTGTCTCGTTATTGTAGGTCAAATTATCGTCTCGTCTCGTGTTTCGAAAATATTACACATTATCGTCTCGTCTCGTCTAGAGTGTCGAGAATGCTACACATTCTCGTTTTCTCTCGTCTTTTTCAGCTTTTTTATAGAAGTATTGTAAAAAATTTGACGTGTTTACACATTACGGAAAAAGGACTTGACGATTAAGGTGAGACTTGGTAGTCTTTCAAGTATTAGTTTGGTTTAAAATTTTAGCCATATTGGAATAAAAAATGTTAAGCTGAACAATAGTTACAATTTATTTTCAAATAATCAAAAATGCAATTTTTTTTCTTGCATTAAAAAATATTTTTGTCTCAAATAACTGATTACTTGTTTTGTTTATTATGAAATATAAAATGCTGAAATGCTCCTATATGTCTTCATTCTTGGTTCGAGTGCTCATTAAAAAAAACACTGAAAAATGAATTAAATTTCAACTTTTAGTTGAAAAAGAGTGTATTTACTAAATATTATGTATAAAAAAATATAATTTATATAAAATATTTATAATTTCTTATATTTTGTTTAAGAAATCTATTAAATGCAACGTAAACCATAAAAGATTTTAGTATACATACATACATATATATATATATATATATATATATATATATATATATATATATATATATATATATATATATATATATATATATATATATATATATATATCATATTTTATATAATTATATTAATCGTAACTATATTTTCAGAATAAAACTTTGCCATTTAAAAAAATTCTCGTCGAGAATTCTCTTCTCTCGTGACACCTCTCTCGTCTTGTATCGTTTTAGCGATAATTAAAAAAATACTGTCTCGTCTCGTCTCGCCTCTCGCCATTATCGCGGCAACACTAATATTTTTACTAATATTGATTTTTTTTTACTAAAATTGTCATTTTATTTTTGTATTAAAACTCAAGTATATGAAAAATAGAATCACCAAACTGAATAGTAAAATTTTCGACCTCGTTACAAATTTTTGAAAATTCTTATCAACTTGAACAATGTCTTCGCATAATTTTAAATTTAGAGATGAGGAATTAATTTAGCTTATTACAAATTTTACAACTTAAATTAAAAATAACTGCGGTGTTATTTGTCTTATACTCTAACATTATTTCTCAGTTATAATTATTATATTTATATTCACCTACTAGTGATAATAATACGTTTAAATATAAAATCTTAATTTTTAATTTTTCAAAGCTAATAAAAAAAGAAATTTTGAAGTCAAAATTGAATTTACATTTTTAATTAAGGAAGAAACTGACAAACAATCGGAACAAAAGTTAGTCCAACTGAATTACTTTTCTGGTTTTTAATTAAAGAAAACAATTAATTTTAAATGTGCAGAATTTAATTTATGTCATTTTAAACAATTAAAAGTTTCATTTGAATAATAATTACAAATTCTGTCTAACAAGATACAATTATTTAAGTAACAATCTAAAATTAGACGAACGTTTCTTACAATGACCAAATAGTAATTTTTTGTATTTAAACAATTTTATGAATTAGAATTGATTTTAATTAATTTTAATAATTAAAACAATTAATTTTATTTATAAATAAAAAATTTATATTTAAATACAACGTTCATTTGTTTTTAACGATAAAAAATAAATTATTTACTATTTTAAATCGCTTTTATTTTAATTGGAAACAAAATATAGACTTATAGGTTTTTATTTTCTAATATACATTTAATTGAAGAATCTACTGCTTTGATTCAAAAATATTATTTCTTTGAATAATTATGTTGAATTCAACATATTTTCTGTTTTGATTTAAAAAAAATTACATATGTTTAAAAATTTTATGTTTGATTCAAACTTAAAATTTGATTATAAATAATTTAAAAACAACCATAACTTATGTTTAAATTAAATATATTACTTTACGTGTTTAAATGTGCCAAAAAATATGTTTCAGTTAAACTTAAATATGTTTGACTGTATAGCAAAGATATTTTAAATTTGATTTAAACAAAATATGTTTGAATCAAATAAATCGTTCTCTCAGTGTAATTGTTCCGCAAATGGTCCGTAAAGACCGTATTTTGAAATACTTTTACTGGTTCGAGTGGTAAACGAAATGAAATTTTTGTGGCGACTCTGAAAAATACCTCGTGATTTAAATAGTAGTGACAATGGCTCTATGAAGGCAAGGTCCTTGGCAACCTTGTCTTAATCCTGGCCAAAGTACACTCCTTATTCTCGATCCATTTGGATTTGGCGACGAATGATGTCGTGCGTGAAGCTCTCGTCTGAATTCAACCCCTTGCGCAACATCCAACACCAAGGGTATCGGTCTTGCTAAACAAACCCAAGCGAGACTTGAGCATATATTTGCATAGGTTTTAATTTCCAAACATGACTTCAAACATGGAAAATCATAAAGGGTTCTTTTTAATTGACTCAGAATTTGCTCAGTAACATCATGAATTCCAGTTTGTGCACCGGAAGTTGCCAATTGGCGTCTAATGCACTCTTCCAATTCGGATGAAACTTCACTGCTGTTGCCTGTATTTATTGCCTGTGAACTCGTTCCATTTAAAATCTTAATGGCCTCCAGTCTTCGAGAGGTTTGAATTATTCCTGCGACTCGCCACGATAGCTGAAAACAGAAACAATTATATATAGTTTTGCAATGAAACGGCTCTCTTATATTTTATTAAGTTGTTTACTTCATAATTAAAGCGTATTTCTGTTGTGCTATTAATTTTTCTCCTTTTATGTTGTTAGAATATTCGTTGTTTATTTAAGGAGGAATGGTATACCTAATCGGGCCAAAAGTTTGTGACATTTAGGGGAATTTGTAATTTTTTTATTTAAGCTACATATAGCAGTTTTTTTTATTGAAATCAGCAAAGTAGACATCAATGAATATTAAAAAGTATATATTAAATGAGGAAAATATAATAAATTTATTAAATTACATTTTTTATAAAAGCAGACAATAATTTTTGTTACTGTCTGTACGAATTTAAAACCTAAGAAAATAAAAGTTACTGAAATTCTCTAAAAATTATTTTCGGATTTATCGAGTATTCCATTGCAAACTTTGAAAAAATGCTATTATTACGTATATATGTGTCTTATTATGCTGTAATATTAATTTTATTAATTATAAACATTGTCAAATAACAATTTGTAATGAGCGTTTAATCTTGACAACCTCGCAATGCAAGTAGTTTGCTTTTTAATCGTTGGTAACAGTGTCAAGTGTTATGATTTGCATGAGAGTTGACGCAAGTTTCCCTTTCCACTACTTTAGTGGGTAAAAGGAAGCGAAAGTGACGAAAAAGCGCGGAGAAATTTAAAATGTAATTGTAAGTGTCACATGTTATGTTTTGTGAAATAGGTTATGTTTATTTGCTCGTGCTATATGTAATAACGTCTGTCAATCGTGCAAACATTGAAAATTCATTAATTTAATTTGAAAATGGTAAACTCGTGCTGTATTTTATACTGCAATGCAAGACGAGGTCAGGTGATGGAAATATACTTAAATTGTTTCCAAAATGTCCAAATCTGCGAAACTTATGGATAAAAAATATAAACCGAGAAGACTGGATGCCAGAGCACCGAAATCATCTGTTTGCGAGGTAATTTATATTTATTTACTAAACATAATGTAGAATTAAAAGCACAATTTACATAACTAAGAGCTTATTATAAATATTTATAAGAAGAAACATTTATAAGAACAAACATTTATGACAATGCAAAAAAATAATCACAAAAAATATTATCAAAATACTAACCTAAAAAATGCGTATCAATTTCTCAAATTAATTTTTATATAAAAGGAATATTATTAACATAAAATATTGTGAAAAATTATGTATTAATAATATTTTATGCATTAAAGTATTTCCGATTTTTCTTTATATGTACATTAAATTATTTTTAAACCATCAAGTATGTATAACAATATATTCTGCAAATAATTATTAATATTCGTACTTTAAAGTAAAATGCAAGCTCAAATAATTATTGTTAAAAATAAACAAATAATAGAATATATATAAATGCCTGATATATTTAAACTTGTTATCAAGCTACTATATAATTAAAAACAAATTCTTAAATAATCCTATCGCACATAAAATATTGCATTTTATAATTTTAGTTACATTTCGTACCTGAAATGTGGGAAACTATTGTTGGTGAAAAAAAACTAAAAACAGATGCTGTCCCAACAATATTTCCGACTCCGCCAATACGAAAAAGAATGCCTGGATTTATTTTTATCAGATCAGGAAAAAGGGTAAGAAACTTTATAGACTTTTAATTCATCATAAAAATATTGTTTTTTTAATAAGAGGTTTGTTAACGCCACTTTATTAAAAATGTAATCTATGATTTCTTTTTTAGAAAAAAGAAAACTCTGCAAATGATGTCGATAATCAGAATATCGCCGAAAATACTGTTTCTTCATTGTTAGAAGAGAAAAATACAGCCATTGATACAAATGCTAAAGAAGAAATATATCTTGAAAGTAATAATGAAAACAGTTCGACTCTGTCTGCATGCAGTACGCAATTATTAAGGAACGAATCTGAACCTCAGGTATGTATAAAATATTGTAGATGAACATTTTAATGGGCAAAGTCATTTTAAGTTGTCAAGATTTTACAATAGAAAGTTGTTAAATATTTATAGTTTACAGAAAGCTCTTTTTACATTTGACAGGAGGATAGCTTAAATAAGGAAAACGAGAAAAGCAGTTCGACAAATTCATTTTCTACTTTGCCAGAAAAAACTATCTTTCTTCAACATTCTAAAGAGGACACTGAAAAATTGTTTCGCAAACAAGAAGACAAAATTAAGATGTTACATTCTCTATTACAACAGGTTCTGCAAGAAAAACAAGAACTAGAAAGACATGGACACACTGCGTACAAGAAAATATTGTACGACTTATTTACTGAGGATCAAATAAACGTTTTGATTAAAGCCAAAGACAGAAATGGGAAGCCGCAGAGACAACAATGGTCTAACTCTACAATCAGGAAAGCGTTGCGCTTAAAATTTACATGTGGAAATAGTGGATGTGACGAATTGTTAAGACAAGGGTTTCCATTCCCGTCACGCAGTACTTTGAGTCGGCGAATTGAGCACATTAAATTTGAACCCGGCATTTCTGAAGAAATGTTTCAATATTTAGATAACAAAGTGACTCATTTCGCAAACGAAGGTGATAGACAATGCTCACTTGCACTTGATGAGGTCAGCATACTAGGAGGACGTATGTTTGATCCTCAAACAAAACAGTTTATTGGAAACTACCTGCTATGCAACAAGCCATGTAACCAACAAAAAAAAATTGGAAACATTACACTTCCGCCTTCATCTGAAGGTACAGTAAAGCATGCTCTTGTTTTTGTTTTAACTGGTACTCAAACAAGATGGAAACAAATAGTAGGATATGAATTTACTGGTGGTGGATTTGATGGCACATTATTAAAGCCCATTATTTTGCAGATAATTGCAAAAGCTGAAAACATCGGTTTGAGGGTAAACAGCGTGACGTGCGATATGGGACCTTCGAATATTGCTTGCTGGAATTCGTTTGGTATTACAGCTGGAAGAAAAGGCGAGTTAAAAAATTCTATTCCTCATCCTCATCCTCATGGCGACGTTAATCGAAAACTGTTTTTCTTTGCGGATGTGCCACATCTGGCTAAAAATATTGTTTAAGCTATAATTAATAACGGCATAATATATTTACCTCAAGATATTCAAGCCAAATACAATTTACCAACCAATGTCGTTAGCGCAGACCATTTAATTGAATTGTTAGAAGCTCAGGAAGACTTAGTCTATACATTAACGCCGAACCTTAAAAAAGAAGACATCATTCTTCCAAGCAGTAAAAATTTTCAGAAAATGAAAGTAAAAAGAGCAAGAAATATATTAAGTACTGAAGTTAGCGCAGCCCTTTACTTTTTATCTGATGAAACTAACAAATTAGAGTATCAGACAACTGCATGGTTTGTTGAACACATTGCGAAATGGTTTCGTCTTATGACATCGAGAAATTTGCAGAGCGCTATTAGCAAATTTAACATAACTAAATATAAGAAGACAATTTCTTTCCTTGAAGAGATGATAAATCTGATAACTAGGATCCATGTTGGCGAGGCAGGAATCTTTAAACCGATCCAGAAAGGTTTCATGTTGGCCACCAAATCTACCATTGAACTTAGTCAGTATCTGATAGAATGCGTAGGATTTAAATTCTTTTTAACTGGTAGATTTACACAAGATGCGGTTGAGAATTTATTTAGCATTATAAGATCCAAGCACGTTACACCGAACGTATTACAATTAAAATATGACTTGAGGTTGATTTCAATTGCTCAATATAATAAGCCGATCAACTCGAGCAACTATGATTATGACAATTCTTATTTTTTAAACGATTTTCTGGAAGACAAAAGTAATAAAGCCTTGAGAATAGCAGGTAATAACAGGGAAACTTCGCAATCAATTAATTCCGAAAACGTTGAAAATATACAATTACCTCAATATGTGGATCAACATTTACTACCTACTAAAGCTCGCCCTCTAAACAATATCGAGAAAAATGCATTGTATCGCGTTGCAGGATACTTAATCAATAGTATTCAAAAAAATTCAAAGACTTGCGAGTTATGTATAGCACCTGTCGGATCAAGGCAGTCTTCAAAATTCACAGACGTTGAATTTGTTAAGTTCGTTGCATTTAAAGAATTTAAAGAAAACCTTCTCTTTTATGTGAGCGAGGATACCTTTAATTTTCTTCAAGCCGTTGATCAAATTTATCGTGATTGGAAACCAATTGTAGAAAAAATGAGAAACATTAACGTTTTGGAATTTTTTTTATGTCGCTTGGAAGCCACAGAAAGTGACCACATTTTAGAATGTCACAATTTGCGAGATAAAATTTTACGGCGATTTGTTCTATTCTGCTTGAGAATTAACAATCAAGCGAGAAATAAAGAAAAAACGCAAAGGAAATTTAATAGCAAAAGCATGGCTATGCATACAGTGTTTCAATAACACGGAATGTCAAAGTCACAAAGTTATGTATATAGTACATTTAAAAAATAATGTTGGCCTTTAATTATCTTAATTTTACTCTAATTTATAGAATAAATACTTTTCGATTTATTCTTTGTACTTCTTTATATCCCAGCTATTCGAATTCACACCTTATTTAATTAAAATATAGTAAATATAATTTTTACATTATTTATTGATAAGTATATTAATGAAATCATTAAATTAATTAATAAAGTTATTTAATAAATAAAATAATTATTTTCATTAAAAATTTCCAAATCAACTAACAATTAGACAAATTTTTTCGTTATTTGCAACTATAATTGAATAATTAAAAAATGATTTTATTATATTATTGGGTTTTCAAAATAAATTTAATGTTTTATTGGTTCCCTACTAAAAATAAAATCAGGAATGGTCAGGCCGCCTGACCACTTTAATCCAGTTTTCTTACGATTCTGGATGGATCTCGTCAGAAATCTATCACAACTGATCAGGAGGAAGTTTAAAGTGGTCACAAGTTTGCTATTATCCCCTCCTCTTTGTTGACCCCGCCCATAATTG